TGTTGGGCCCGTCCTGGAAAGTTCCGGTCCGGCCGGCACTGGGCTGAGCTCCGTCCTGGTGGATGCTGTCTGAGGCGACTCAGATCCGCGGGTCCCGGCCCTGCAGTGGTCCAGGTCCTCTGTCTGCGGGTGACATCAGGGGCCTGGCCATCCTGGCCCCGTGGGTCACTCACCCAGCAGATCCTTTCCGCCCGCCCCGCCCCCGCTGTGCAACAGGCACACACAGCAGGGACCAGGTGCCCAAAGTGATGGGGCGTCTGACTTGAAGAGCGAACATGAGCGGATGTCCCAGTTTTTATTGTTTCCCAGAGCGGAGACCAATGACCAGGGTTGGTAAAGGTGAGACTGTGACCGGAGTGGAGGACCCCTCGGCCCAAGGAAGGTGACAGCTGACACCCCCGACCCTCCCGCTTCCCTTTGCGACTCGCTGACTTCCTGTCGCCTCGGGTGTCACCAGGGCGGAGCGCAGACACGCCTGTCGGTGAGCTGGGCAGCGTGCGCTGTCCGGAGCGACCGCGGGGAGCCACAGAGATGCACTCGGAGGACCGAGCTCTGGGCCCGCCCAGGCTCCACGGGCCCCTCCCTCAGACGGTCTTCCTCTGGGCGGGCGAGCTCGTGTCAGGAGTCGCTGTGGGTTCTGCGCAGTGAGGCGGCTCAGACCAGCGTGTGGCCCGCACCCTCCTGGCGGGCTCCGCGGATCCGAGGCCGTGGGACGAGGCCGGGCTGTTCGGGGCCCCGTGGTGGTGATTTTGAGGCTGACATGGTCTGGGTCTCCCCGAAGGAGCCGGATTGAAGACAAAGCCGACAGGGCCTTTTGTGGGATCCCTGGGCCAGAACTGCGGGCAGGGCCCAGACACTGTCCACGCTGCAGCGTACAGTCGTGGGTTGTGTTCTCAGTGCTGCGGACAGACACGGGGCTCGTTTGTCCTGTGGGGTGCTCGGGCAACCTCTCCCTCCTCTGTACGCATGGCCGTCCTTCATCCTGTGTCTCCCGGACACAGACCAGTGAGAGGCTCCTCCCAGCTGCCCCTGGAGGCGGCCGAGAGCCCCGTGGAGCTGGGTCTGCCGCCAATGCCCCTCCCTCTTTCCAGAGAGTTCCCCGCGGACAGTGCCCTGAAGTCTCCAATTCATTCTGTCCGGATATGAGCTCTTGGTCTTCCCCCTGGGACCTGCTTCTCCGTGCTTCATCCTCCTGGTTGATTGTGGGCTGACCCCCAGCTGGAACCCTGACCGTGGCCAGGCCGTCCCCACACCTGCCGTCCTCCCCCTGGGCTGCGGACACCCTGCGGATGCCGCCTGCATGACCACACGTCCGCCGGACGGACCCGGCCTGCTCCCGGCCTGCGGCAGCGGCCGCGTGGACAGAGACGTTCGTGGTGTGTTCCTGGGAGGGGGAAGCTTCTCTAAAGGGCCCGAGAGTTAGCAGCTAAACTGGAATTTAAAAAAAAAAAATTCTTTAAAATGCCCGCTATGTCTGTTAGCCCAGATTCTAAGGAAAGGACGGTCTTGCTCACCTGTGACCAGAAGGGACAGTAAGGTGATGGACGTAGCGGTGCCCTCGAGGGTGCACAGGAGAGTCTGAGAGAAGTGAGCAGAGACGCCCGCTGTGTTTCCCAGGCCGGCGGGAGTCTCCCGGTCACGTCACACGCGGCAGGTGACGTGACCGGTGTCCTGAGAGGGGCCGTCTGGGCGGGGGTCGGAGCAGTGTCCTGGGCGTGGTGCCTGACCGCGGGGCGAGGGGGAAGGAGCGTCCAGGTGCCCGGCCTACGGGAGGCCATGCTGCTGAGCGAGCTCTGAGGACGGGCACCTACCTGCCCAGCCAGCAAGACGGAGACGGCCAGGGCCCGGGAGCATTCGCTGGGTCAGAGGGCGGACCTGACCCCCGAGTGCCGGGACCCCCTAGGCAACTGTCCCCTGGCCCCGTGCACAGCAGGACCGTGAGCAGTTAGCTGACAGGATCGCGGAGGAGCAGAGAGCGCGGGGCCTCCTTCCTGCCGCCTTACCCCCCAATCTTCATTCTCTACTGCGAATCAGCTCGGTCTCTCTCGTTCTCCCCAACCTCGGGATTCTTCTGTAACCCAAGACGGATGGAGACGCCGCCTGCTAGACGGGTCTTCTCCTCTGGGGACGTTCGGCTGTTCCTGCCCAGGGCTACTTCCCTCGCCGCGTTCCTTAGGACCCTGCAGTCTGCGGTCACCTCCCGCGGACACCCGACCCGTGCACTTCCCTGAAGGTCTTGAGAACCTTGAAAACCAGCTCCCTTCAAACCGGGGTTTCGAATTTTGCTTATCTCTCTTCACCGCAACCAAACGGCAAACAAAAACCTTCCCAGAGAGGACGGAGGTGCGGCAGGGCCTCCGCGGAAATGAATACGTCCCCCCAGGGATTCAGCCGCCCTCCTGCAGGCTCGGCGCCCTCTTCCCCGAGTGTTAGGCAGAGCCCGCACCTTGACGACGACCTCTGGCCTTGGCGGTCACCGGATCTCCTGAGCCTGGCCGCGGGGAGGGTCTGGGCGGCTGCTCCCCTGTGTTCCGTCAGCCGCAGACCCAGGGACGCAGCGGCGGAGCGAGCTCGGGGCTGCGCAAGCTCCCTTCCCCGTGTGGCCTGCTGCGTGTGGGGCGTCACCCAGGGAAACGGGGTGGCTTCCTGTGCCCAAGCACTTTCAGACATCGGGTCCCACCTGACCTCCCCGATGGCCCGGGGGGGGGGGCTGTCAGCCCTTCCGGGAAGAGAGAGCTTTGGGGGAACGAGGCCCGAGGACAGCACCCGGCGGGGCTGAGCTGGGCTTCGAACCCCGGCCTGCGCCGTGGTTGGGACTTTTCCGTTCTGAACGGTAGGTAGCCCTGTGTTCTCCGCGGCATTCTGTGTGTTTAGTGAGTTGCTGGGCTGTCTTAGCCGGGGTCAGAGGTCCGTCTGTCCACGATGGTGTATAGGCATCTACACCGAAACCTCCCTACCCTCTCCCCACTGAGGTTGCGGAGTATTTGCCACCCTCCTGGCCGCAGTGGGACTTTTAAGAAAACTTTTATCCTCACCCGAGGACATTTTTGCATTTACCTTCAGGTAGAGCGGGAGGGAGAGGGAGGACGAGAGAGAGAAACATCATGTGAGGGAGACACACCGAGTGGCTGCCACCCACGGGACCACACAACCCCAACCGGGCCGGGAGAAACCGCAGCCGAGGAGGAGCGTGCCCTTGGCGGGAACAATCCCGGGGCTCTGCGCCGCGGGCCGATGCTCTCACCGCTGAGCCCCACCAGCCGGGGCCAGGCCAGGCGTGGGGCGTTCCTCACGGACACGTCAGTGTGGGAAGGAGGCCGGCTGTGGGGCAGGCTCGCGTCCCCTGGGCCCAGGACTCGCTGTTCGCTCTGCGCTCTCCCCAGGACGGACGGCCCTCAGGGCTCCTGTGTGGGGCGTAGGTCGGGTCAGGGCGCCATCAGGCAGAGGGCGGGGCCGAGCAGCAGGCCTGCGGGTGCGGCTCTGATGTCTGGGAGCCTGGCAGCTCCTCGCCCTGGGCCGGAGGCTCGTCCTTGACGCTGCCTGGCCGCCTGGGCTGGGCTCTCGTGTGGGCAGTCTGCAGGAGGTCCGCTTGTTTTGGGTGTGGCTGGTGTATCGGTGGGAGTCACCCAGCGACCCCTGTACACACGCAGGGTGCTCCAGGCTTCCCTCCCTGACTTTCCTGCCCGTTTCCCAGGACCCGTTCCTGCTGCTCCCTGACCCTAAGGAGAGCCGTCCTGTGGGGCGGCGGCTGCGGTCACTCTGCTCTGTCTCTGGGGCCAGGCTGCCCGGCGCATCCTGAAGGCGCCCGGGGAGGGGGACCAGGCGTCCCGTCCCCTCGCTGCCCCCACGGCTGAGTCACCGGCAGGCTGGCGGGTCCCGGCGGATCCAGGGGCCTCGTGGGACGGGTAGACGTGAGCACAGGCAGGTGCGACGGGACCCCTGTGACCCGCTCTCCTGATGGCTGTGCCGGCCCACAAAGGGCGTCAGGCGGGGACCCGCAGAAGCCTGCAGGGTGGTGGTGTGTCTGGTGGGCTTGTCTTTGCAGAGGCTGGACATAAAGGTCCATTCATAGCAAAACAGGTGAGCGACTCCATGGATGGAGGGTCTAGGGACAGGATCAGGGTGACCGTTGACTTCCTGGTCCGCGTGGGTCCCGGCCGGCAAGCAGGCACCACCTTGGAGGGGCTCTGGGTCTGGGCCCAGGTGACATGAGGCTGGGGCCTGGGGAACCCCGACACCCTGCTCCGTCTGGTGGGCCCCGTCTGGGCGCGTGTACGGGAAGCATGTGCGGGAAGCGTGTGCTCTGCGTGGCTGTGCTCACGTGTGCGGGAAGCGTGTGTGGGAAGCGTGTGCTCTGCATGGCTGTGCTCGCGTGTGCGGAAAGCGTGTGTGGGAAGCGTGTGCTCTGCATGGCTGTGCTCGCGTGTGCGGAAAGCGTGTGTGGGAAGTGTGTGCTCTGCATGGCTATGCTCGCATGTGCGGAAAGCGTGTGCGGGAATCGTGTGCTCTGCATGGCTGTGCTCGCGTGTGCGGGAAGCGTGTGCTCTGTGTGGCTGTGCTCGTATGTCCGGCACGCGGAGGCACCTGCCCTGCTGTCAACACGCTGACGGTCCGGACAGACGCGTCCTTGCAGAGAGCTGGGCGTGGGGCCGGGTGGCAGCCGCAGTGGAGGTGGCGAGGGGCCCACTGCAGACACTGAGTCGTCATAAGGGAGAGAAAGTGAGACTGGCCGGCCCTGGGCGGGCGGCCACAGCGTGGGCGGAGCAGGACCCAGAGACGGCCGGCAGGACCCGTGGGCCGCCCGTCGGTTCTGCAGCGTAGCTCCCGCCTCCTTCCCTCGTCGTCGGATGACGTGTTTTAAGGGAAACGAGACATTCGAGGGAAACTTCAGCCTTCGCCTGGACTCTTGTCTGAGAGCCTCACCTGGAGGCTGTTGCCCTCGGGGCCCGGACACTGCCCAGGCCATGCCGGGTCCCACTCACGCCCCTGTCGATTCACAGGATCTGCAGAGCTGGGTGGACGGGGCCAGCGAGCACGGCTTCGTCCTGGTGTCCTTCGGGGCCGGCGTCAAGTACCTGTCGGAGGACATCGCTCACAAGCTGGCCGGGGCCCTGGGCAGACTGCCCCAGAAGGTGATCTGGAGGTACGGCGGGGACGCAGCTTCCTGCTGGCTCCGCCCGCCGGCCGGGTGACAGCCCACAGGCCCCGGGCGGCCAGCGGGCCCGCGCTGCGTGTGCTCCTGGTGTGGCGGGTGTAGGTGTGATGTGGGGGAGGGCCCGTGGCCTGCCGCAGGGAGGAGGCAGGATGAGGCGTGGGCCCCTGACCTGTCCGCCCTTCATTTCTCTGTGGGCCTTCGGATCAGGGCAGGAAGGAGGGACAACGGATGAGTGATGAGCGGGTGAAAGATTCCCCGGGGCCTTCTGGTCCCCTTAGAGATCAGGCCTTTAAAGTGCGGTAGCGCCAGCGACCGTGACGGCGGGTCAGCACAGGCCCAGAGGTGGCCCCGCGGCTCTGCCCTCTGTCGCCCTGGAGCGTCCGCCCCAAACCTCCATGCAGAGTGTTTGCTGGGGACCGGCCGCCACCGTCGGGCCCTGCGGACAGAGCCACGAGCTGAAGCCGTGGCTGCAGGCTCTGAGGCGCTCAGGCGTGTCCCACGGCTGCTCCTGCCCACAGGGAAACAGAGGGGCTGGCCCTCGGACCCAGTCCCGTGGGGTTTCCTGTTAGGCCCCTTGGAAAGTACCCTCAGCTCCGTTTAGGGCAGTTCACGTCCAATAACCCCAGGGTTCCCCTTGCAGACACCGAGGCAGGACCCATGGCCTTCCCACGGAACCCTGCCCTGGGCCCAGCGGGGCAGCCGTTCTCTCTGTCCTCCCTCCCCAGGCCCTGTGCTCCGTCGGAGCTGGTGGCCGCCTGCTGCTGGCCCTGCAGGTCCCCCAGCCCACCTTCTGGGTCCTGGTGGGGTGCGTGCCCGGCACAGGCTCACGGGGTGTCTTCCCACCTCTGTGCAGGTGAAGGAGAGGAAGTAGAGGGGCTGTCTCCTGTGTGTCCCTCCGTCAATGACAGTGTGAGAGACGCTCACCGAACCTCTGTTACTGGGGAAGGTGGTCCGCGAGGAGGTCACCAGGACGGGGCAGCTTCTGCTCAAGCCCAGCGCTGTGACCAGGGTCCGAGGCAGGGAGGGTGGAGTCTGAGAGGCCCCTTGTCTGCTTCACACTCAGGTTCTCTGGGACCAAACCGAAGAATCTGGGGAACAACACAAAGCTCCTGGAGTGGCTGCCGCAGAATGATCTGCTGGGTGAGTGACCCGGCCCAGCCCTGCTGTGCACACGCGACCGACCCCGGCCCAGCCCCGCTGTGCACACGCAACTGACTCCGGCCCAGCCCCACTGTGCACACGCGACCCGACCCCGGCCCAGCCCCACTGTGCACACGCGACCCGACCCCGGCCCAGCCCCGCTGTGCACACGCGACCGACCCCGGCCCAGCCCCGCTGTGCACACGTGACCGACCCCGGCCCAGCCCCGCTGTGCACACGCAACTGACTCCGGCCCAGCCCCGCTGTGCACACGCGACCCGACCCCGGCCCAGCCCCGCTGTGCACACGCGACCGACCCCGGCCCAGCCCCACTGTGCACACGCGACCCGACCCCGGCCCAGCCCCGCTGTGCACACGCGACCGACCCCGGCCCAGCCCCGCTGTGCACACGCGACCGACCCCGGTCCAGACCCTGCTGTGCACACGCGACACTACCCCAATCCAGACACGAATGTGCACACGTGACCTGACCCAGGCCCAGATACAAATACACACAGGCACCCTGACCCAGACCCAGACCCTGCTGTGCACACGCGACCCAACCCAGGCCCAGACACGAATGTGCACACGCAATCTGACCCCGGCCCTGACACGAATGTGCACACGCGATCCAACCCCGGCCCAACACGAATGTGCACACGCGGCCCTGTCCTCGGGGCTGGTACATGAGTGATGTCATCTGTTATCTCAGCTCTGAGATCTCACACCAAGTCAAATCTTTATTTCCTGGAAAATACTTTTAGAGTCTAATCACTTTGGGCCTCTACATGAAAAATTTTAGGCCAGTCACCAGTTGTGATTGTTTTGGAAAATATGCTTAACATAACCACATGCTTTACATAACTATATAAACTAGCAGGGAGGGAAGTCACACCTAATTAGGCTAATTGCCTGAAGTACTCAGTTAAAACAATGAACATGTAGATCTGTGTCATAGTGTAATTACAGAGAAATTCGAAGTAATTCACTTGTTTAAAACCAAAGACAAGCAGAGGGCTCAGGAAACTGTTGGTGTATTTAAACTATTTGGATCACCTGCCTGCATTTTGCAGCGAATTCCCAGGCGTTTGTGAAACACTATTGCTGGCTGTGCTCAGAGGACGCCGGGGGTCCCAGTAGGACCCATAATGTCTTCACCCTCGTGCCCGGTCCCCCGCTCTCAGGACGGCTGGGTAGTGATGCTCCCTTCACGAAGCGAGTCTGGGGCCCTGGGCGCGCAGGTGCTGGTGTCCGCTCGCTGGAGAAAGTTACCTGTGGACAAAGGACGGACCTGCTGGGCCACCTGCTGGGCGCTGGGCCTGGGAGCCCTGGGCCCCTCCATCCAAGGCCCCCGGGGTCTGAGTGCACCTGAGGGAGTCTCGGGAGATGAGGGGTTGGGGAGCCCTGGTGCCCGTGTGTCCACGCAGCGGACACTTCCGGTCCATCCCCTTCACGGGCCTGGCTGCTTACGGGACGGGTGGTGACACCCGCTTATCTCTTCATGAAGGTCACGTGTTGCCTGGTGGCCCATCTCCCCGGCTGGCTTTTGTCATTCTCTGTCCCTTGTTTGGACACCTGAGTAGGAAAACTGGCCCCAGGACAGGGAACAAAGATGCCGAGGAGACTCGGCATTCCAGATGCTGAGCGCAGGTCGGGCATCCCGGGGGGAGCAGCCCGCGTGTCCCCACAGGCTCTCGCAGACTGCGTGACCTCAGGGTGGGCCGCCGGCGCGGACGGTGGCGCGTCTGCTTCGCGTAGAAAGCGCGGTCGTTTCTGGCTCCTGCCGACTTCCCGTTAATTCTGGGCCATTTACGTCGACGTCGGTGGTCAGTGATGTTTTTCTTTGAGAGGAAGCTGCAATGAGCTTCTCAAAGCTACAAGCCTTGGCTGCTTAGAAATGGCTTTACAACTGTGATGGACTTAAAACGTAATCGCATGTGCTAAGATTTGTGTTCATGATTCTGTTGTTAAAAGTGAAGAGCAGAGTATCACTGCCCGTCTTTGGAGAAGCCGGGGGCCCCCGGGAGCTGTCAGTGCAGGGACAGACTCACTCAGAAAGAGGCTTCTAAGGGACAGGTGCAGACTTCCTGCAGCGCCCCCCTTTCGGACGTCCCCGGGACCTGCCCAGACCACACGGTGTGAGCTGTTCTCTCCCTGCTGCTCCTGCAGGGCATCCGCACATCAAGGCCTTCCTGAGCCACGGAGGCCTGAACAGCATCTTCGAGACCATGTACCACGGCGTCCCGGTGGTGGGCGTCCCCCTCTTCGGGGACCATTACGACACGATGACGCGGGTGCAGGCCAAGGGCATGGGGATCATGCTGGAGTGGAAGACGGTCACGGAGGTGGAGCTTCACGAGGCCCTGGTGAAGGTGATCAACGACCCCAGGTGAGCGTCCAGCCGGCTCGGGGCCGGAGCACCCACCGCAGCACCGTGAGCATCGGTCCTGCCCCAGGTCGTTGTGAGCCCCTTGCGGGGCTGTGGACGCCTGTGGGGTGGGAAGTGAAGACAGCCTGTGTTCCACATTCCCGGGCGGGGGCATTGGCAGGGGGGCTGCCGTGGCCCCGGCCACGCGGGTTAGTCTGCGTCCTGCCCTCGGTGTGGCACCCACCGTAACCAGGGTCACCGGGCCTCACTCAGCTCCGGGCTGATCGGCACCTTTATTTTTTCCTAAAACTCAGTGTGTTGAGTTGGCCATGCTCACAGCTGAGTCTTGGGGAGAGCGGGCCTGTGTGGTGATAACAGGGAGGTCCCCCACTTCTCAAGACGTACCAGTGACCTTGTATTTCAAGTGACACCGATGTTGGGAAGAGGGTGAGCTTTCTGTTTCCACCCGAGCGAGAGCCACGGCCACAGTCTGAGGGGCTCCCGTGTGGAAGACGCACAGCGCGGCCTGCGGGCGGAGCGGGGACCCGGCGTCCGGGTCACAACTCGGGGCCTCCATGCAGCATGTTCTGTGACCCGAGGTGTCCCGGGGCGGGCCCCCTCCATCCGTCCTGCAGCGTTTCCCTCGAAGTCCAGTTTCTGTGAACGTGGCGCTGTTACGGGTAATGACAGCGCCGGGCAGGCTCTGGGGCAGGCAGTACGAGGCAGCCCCGTCGCGGCTGGAGGCAGAGTCCGTGACTGGTACAGCGAGTGAGTCCATGTCGTTCACACAGTAGCAAGTGGGATGAAGGACGTTAACTACGAGCCTTGTGTGCGGTCAGGGCGGGAGAGGCCGCGTGCCGTGTGAGGAGGTGAGGCTGGGTGTCCCGGTCTTCGCTGACGGTCATTGTGTGTGACTGCTGGAGGCTGGGCCCGAGCCGTTGTCGCCAAGGCTGACCTGCTTCACTGGTCGCCTGTGCAGGGCCCTCTAGTTAAACGAGGTCACCGCTGCTGCTGAAGAAGCATCACCCGTTCTTACTGTCACTCGAAGGGGGTCGCCGGGCACCTCACTTCTCTCGTAAGGAGTCGGATGGATTTCACGAGAGCTGTGCTCTGTGCTTTGGGACGAATTCTTTTCAGTCTGGAGATTCTGTGGTTTGAAAGCAAGTGGTGGAGAAAGATGGGTAGTTACTCCTATGCCCAGCCTGTGGCTACTGACTTCTGTTAGTAAAGCCTAGTGTGAAGTCGGGGGGCCCTTTCCTAGGGAGAAGGACGGGCGAGCCCGGGGGAGGGGGGCCCGGGTGGGGACGGGTTTTGGACAGAAATGCTGAGCTGCACCCCAGCTCTGTGATCACAGCTGGAGCCCTCTGGTCCCCCTGCAGCTACCGTCAGCGGGCCCGGCAGCTGTCGGAGATCCACCGGGACCAGCCCGGGCACCCCGTGGAGCGGACCGTGTACTGGATCGAGTACATCCTGCGCCACCGCGGCGCCCACCACCTGCGGGCGGCCGTGCACCAGCTGTCCTTCTGGCAGTACTTCCTCCTGGACGTGGCCGCGGTGCTCCTGCTGGCCGCCGCCCTGCTCTCCCTCCTCCTGTCCTGGGCCGCGGCGCGCGTCTGCAGACGCGTCCGGCGCTGTTGGCCCAGACGCGGGCCCAGCCTGGCGAACGGACCTCCCCACAACGGGGTCCTGAACGGCAGGTGCAAACGGAACGGCCACGTCCCGCAGGAGAAGAAGACCAAGTGAGCCGGCGGCCCCGCGGCCCCGTGGTCACGCTGTCCGCCGCCCTCGCGGGGAGCCCAGGCAGCACGCTCTAACCCTCTGATCTACTAACCAAACCCTGCGCGTTCGGTGCCGTGAAGGCGCAGACCTGACCCGTGGAACATGCTCTGTGTCGGCACCGAGCCTGCACCGCCTGTGGGGCCCTCCCTGCCGACGTGGTGCGGTGCCGGGTCCGGCTTAGTTCCAGCCCGTGAGGTGTGAGCCCCAGGTCGGGAACGGTCTCTTCCTCCAGCGGCCCCGTGTGAGCGTGTTTCCTGAGGGCTGCTGTCCGGCTGCTTTCTCGTCCGTTGAAGGGACAGCACACTCAGGGGCGCCGGGCCGTCCGGGCGGCCGCTTCTCTCCGGGAGTCAGTGGGCACACACTCGGGGCCCCGCCGCGTCTCGGCCTCCCAGCTGAGTGCGAGGGAGGAGAGAGAGGAGGGCGCCGGCTTCTGCACTCTCTCGCGTTTAAGTTTGTTCTGGTTTTATTTGTTCTTTTGTTGTCCTTTTCTTACGGACTATGGACACGTCTGGGGGGAAACGTACAGTGAAGTAAATGTATAAATTGATTGTCATATTTTATTTGTTTCCCCAACCGATAACTTGGCTCTGGAAGAATTTCGTAGGTTTTCTCTACTTCACTTGCACGCGTAACACGGTTCAGTGCGTAACACGCGCGGCCGGCCCTGGCTCCTGTTTCGGTGCGTGAGCGGCCAGGACGACCTCCACGGCGTCTCCCACCGCGCGTGTGACTGCCGGTAGCGAATGCTTTGCACAGCGCCGCCGTCGAATGTTCAGGGGTCGTCCCTCCAAAGCTTTCGCTTTGAAAACCCACCCTGGCCACCCCTTTGGTTGTCTGGGCCACACAACCTGTCACGGAGGTGCCAACGGGTCCTTCTTGTCCGGGGACCTGTGCGGTCTCCGTCCTGGTCCTACTCTGTCTAGTCTCGTCCACTCAGACGTGACAGAGAAATCGCAGTTTTAGAAACCGCATTTTGAGAACGAGTTCCTGCTCCCCCCTCGCTGCGTCCCCTGCTGGCCACTGCGGCTGACGGGACAGGGACAGGGACAGTGACGAGCTCACTTCAGGACGAGGGGCCCTCAGTCAGTCAGGACCTCCCGGCTCAGCCCCCCTCCCCCGTTGCAGCTCTGAGTTTATTTCAGGTCGTTCTGTTTACTTAGTGTGCACTTCGTGTGGTGAGCTTTATTTATTGACCGAGCCGCAGCCCCCCTGCCGGCTGAGGGCGGAAACACACCAGGTACCTAGTGACCTTCACTAACATGGGAAGAGCTGGGAGAACTCCGGTCGCTCTGCGTGCACTGTGACACGCAGCCCCACGCCCACCAGGAGCCGCCGCGCTGCACTGGGCACACGCGGTGCCTGGCCCGCGGTGCACGCGCTCCGAATACTTGAAGAAACGCTGTGCCCACGGCCTGCACCTGCTGCCACAATCTTTGGGTGGTCGCCGTGGACAGGGAGGGAGGCCAGGCCGTGAGCGGTGGGGGCAGGGCGTCGAGTGTGCGGGTGCCGGATGGGCGGACAGCAGCACCCCCGGGGACCGAGCAAAGTCTCCACTGTGATCCAACTCAAACAATAAACACGATTTGAAAAGAGCGAATTGCCGTCGGGATGCGATTTTTCCAGGTTCCGTCTCGCGGCCGCGTGTGTTCCCGCTGCGGACATCGTTCCGAGACGGCGTCCCGGCTCCGGGGGTGTGAGCGTGAAGTGGCGTGTTTGTCACGTGTGGGATGTTTACGCCAGGCAGAGGAATTGCTGACCTCACAGGCACGTCCGTGGGTCTCACCCGTGTCCGTGTGGCTCTGGGCTGATCGTTGTTTTTCTAGCAAGCGTGTTGTTACCCGTGTTGGTAAACGGAGTGGTTTTAAATTTTTCACCCTTGGGCTAGATGCGCTAATAAAGAAACATTTTCAAGAAGGTTTTTATTCGTTTGTTGTTTAAAAAGAGCCCGTGCAGATATTTCCAGGGCTGGTTGAGCTCTCGTGAGTGAGGGGGATGCTGCAGCCCCTCTGGGGCGAAGGGTGGGGTGTGGTATGGGCGGGGATGTGGGCGGGGCAGGGCAGGGCGGGGCGGGGCACAGGCTAGGTGTGGGTGGGGCGGGGACATGGGCGGGGTGTGGCGAGGCGTGGGTGAGGTGTGGGCGGGACAGGGCAGGGTGGGGCAGGAAGTGGGTTGAGACGTGTCCCTTAAGGTCGGCCAATCCACACTGACAGGAGCTGGGGGTTCTCTTGGGCACAGAGAGACTGTGTTAGTTTGGGGCTGTTCCCAGATGGCTGGGGCTTCAGTGACCATGCTCTGGGAGGCTCTGGTGTCCATAGCTCAGGCCTGGGTCTAACCCCAAGAAACCTGCCCTGCACTTCACCCACCAGCATTCACACTTGAGCCTGGATGGTGACCCACAACGCCCTGTCCGGCAGGCTGGACCCACCTCACTGAGCCTCAGGACTGTCCGTGGGTGGGGACACCCCCCTGCCCGTCCCGGCCCTCCCAGGCCTGGTGGGGAGGCTGCAGGACCTCTCATCTCCTGCTGAGACTACAGGTGTGTGCTCAGATCCTGGCGGGGCTGATGCGCTGCCCAGTGCCCAGCTGGCTGCCAGCTCCCTGTGGTCACCAGGCGGGTAGACGTCCTCATCGGACCTCGTGGGCCGTGAAACATGCCCTGGAGGTGACCGTTTAGCAAACCACTGGTTTATAACGGTGAGTACCCTGCCCGGCGTTCAGACCCGGAGTGAACTGGAGAAAGTGTATTTATCCACCTGCGTGGGAGCTGCCTGCGACCTGCCGGACACGTGGGTGCCAGGCCTCCCCTGGGAGCGCCACGGCGTGCGTGGTCCTGTGCTCCTAGCCGGGGGTGGGTGGAGACCCGTGTGCGGGCCCCGCGCCAGGTGGGAGCCAGCTGGGCCCATGCTCATGGCCGCTCACTGGCAGGTGTCTGTGGCGAGACCCACGTCATTAACGGCACCTCAGGACCTTCCTGGGGTTCACTCTGTGAGTCACCATGGAATGCAGGCTCCTGCTTGATCGTGACTTTGAAGGTCAGATCCAAGATTTATCATCCTCACAAGGTCGCTTTCTTATTTGTGTAGTGATGATGACCTCTGGGCTTGTGAGCACACACACACACAGACTCGCACACGCACACACTTGCACACAATCACACTCGCACACACACTCACACACATAATCACATACACATGCACACACTTGCATGCACACTTGCACACAATCACACACAATCACACACACACTTGCACACAATCGCACACACAATCACACACGCTTGCACACACAATCACACACACTGACACTCACATATACTCTCACTCACTCCTGGACATATTGACTCAACTAACCTCTCATATTGCTGTGCTTTCTGTTTTTGAAAGTTGTTTAAACACTGTCTTGCCCATTCCTGCCGAGTGTCCTGCCTCCCGGTGGCGTCTCAGTGCACGAGGCCGGCCCTTAGCTCCTGCCGCTCTCCTCCAAGCCCCGCTGCTCACCAGACCCCGAAAGGCGATGGACGTGTCTGAACACGGAGAACCAGACCGCAGGGGGGTCGCTCACCGTCTGCGTCATCCCTGAACCACACTCGTTTTCTGTGCTGAAGTCATTCCGCCAGTTTGTGAACAACACCCCACCGCACACACCTCATTTGCAGTTGATATAATTAGAAACGATTGAAACAGAACTTTTATATGACGAAGAGCGAGAATTACATGAAAATTCTCCAAAGCAGGTGTTCGATGCGTCCCGTCCTCCCGTCTAGGCGGCAGGAGCCTGGGTCAGCTCTCAGACCCACTTCATGCGGAAACGCCAGCGATGCTCGACGGGCAGAAAGAACATTTCCCAGCGCACTTGGTTTGCAGTGCCTCGGACATGCACACAGTGAAATAGTCCTGTGGTCGTTCTCAGCAAAGTCTGCAAACTCACACGTCTCCGAGTCCTGGGATGTGTGGCTGCTGAGGTGGGGCCGGGGGTAGGGACGGTTGTAGACTCTTCCTTTGCAAACTGTGGGAACCAGAGGCGCTCAGACATGGTTTAAGAAAATAAATTCATACAGTCCACGTTACTGATACTGTATCTAGTTAGTATAATAAAACCAGGAGATTTTTAAAAAATCCTCACCCGAGGATATTTTCCATTGGTTTTAGAGAGAGAGACATCGATGATGTGACAGAAAACATTGGCCAACCTCCCGTAGGTGCCCTGATCGGGGATCAAACCCTGCACCTAGGTATGTGCCCTGACGGAATCGAGCTCACAACCTTTCTGGTGTACGGGACGGAGCCCCCCCTCCCCATGGAGCCCCCCCCCCCCCCAGGCAGCCCCGGGAGGCCGTCAGCAGAGCAACATGCGATCCAGGTGCAGACTGAGAAATGAGAACGAGATGTAACACTACACTGATCCTCAGATAAAACCATTGGAGTAGTGTCCGTCTGCACATTTTCATTTATTAGCTGATAAAGCGTGCTCCCTGGATTTTCCCCGACTGAGAGAGACACGATCCTACGTTGGCTCCCGCTGAGTTAGTTCCCACTCTTCCAGTAACTAGTTTGCGCGGTGAGTGGCCAGTCCTCATCCCAGAGCACGGGAGCTGGAAGTTACTGTCGAACCCGCAACTTTTCAGAGTAGTTTTCACTGAGCCACGGACGGGTCCTTTGTCCTTGTTTTGGGATTCGTCTTCCATTTGGGTCGGAAATCACCCAAACAGTGTGACCAGAAAAGGGGCTGAGCACCCAGGAGACACATCCCCTCCATTCCAGGGTCCCCACACAGGTGCGGGTCGAACCCCAGGCCAGAGGGGCCCGAGTACATGGGTCTGCGTCCCTCCTGGAACTTCGCTGCCTCCGTGAGTATCCCCCGCCCCCAGCGCAAAGTGTATCTTTCGACTATAAACAGGTAAGCTGCTTGTAAAATAAACTGCGTATGTTACCAGTGACCTGTGATGTGACGTTTCTGGGTGATTC